ATAAAACTCCTGATGAGTTTCTCCTTTCTAAAGAATGTGTTATTTATTTGTTTTTCTGCTTTTAATTTCCGCATGTTACCTTTGGAAACCATTCCAAACCTAAGCTTGGATATGTAGAGATTGTAGAACAACATTCTTTCCCTCGAACCGATCCCTGTGGAGACAACAAAAATTGGGTACTTAATTAATTTTTGCTTGCCACTTTACCGCACCAGCAATTTTCTTATTCCAAGCTCTTGGAGCTTGCTTAAGTCCATACAGGGCTTTATGCAACCTGTACACCTTTCTTTCTTCGCCTCGTTTCAAATGCCCAACTGGTTGTGTGATATAAAATTCTTCATCTATAGGGCCATTAAGGAATGAACATTTCACATCCATCTGACATGTGTGCCAATTGATCATGTTTGATAGACCAACAACTAACCTGAATGTTTTGATACTAGCAACAGGTGCAAAAACTTCATCGAAGTCGATTCCTTCCTTCTGAAGAAATCATTTTGCCACAAGTCTTGCCTTGTGTCGAGTTACCTCTCCTTTAGGATTCACTTTCACCTTGTAAACCAACTTCACATCAATTGCCTTCTTGCCTTGAGGCAATTCGACAAGTGACCAGGTGTTATTGACTTCGATGTAGTCTAACTCCTCATTCATTGCTTTCAACCATTTCGAATCTTTTAATACCTCAGCTGCATTGACTGGTTCGACATCTGTGTAGAAAGCATAATGTACCAGCTAACCCTCTTCATCGACCACATCATCTAATGTAATTACACATTCTTGCAACCTTGCAGACATGTGTCTTGTTCGTTGAGGTCTGCTTAGGCTTGCTTCACCTCTGACTTCTTTTTTGTCAAACTTCTCTTTTGAATTCATTAGATGGTTCTTCATATAAGATTCTCATTGAGTCCTTCTTAACATTTTCAGTCCAATCTCATTCCTTAAGCTCATCTATGATCACGTCCCTGCTGATCACAACTTGCTTGTTCACTGGGTCGAACAACTTGTATCCTTTAGTCGAATGATATCCTATCAAGATCATTTGACTCGACTTGTCATCAAGCTTTCTTCTCAACTGATATGGCACATGTCTATGTGATATAGATCCAAACACCTTCAAATTACTTAGGCTAGGCTTAACACCAGAACAACATTCTTCTGGCATGATTCCTTATAGCTTCTTCGTCAGACATCTATTCAAGATGTATGTTGTTGCCAACACAACTTCTCCCCATAATTCTTTCGATAGAGCTTGCCTTTTAACATACTTTTCACCATGTTCATGATGGTTCTATTCTTCCTTTTCACCATGCACAATCCCTTCTTTTTCACATAATGCATCGAACTCTTTCGACACGTACTCTTCACCATCATCAGTCCTCTGAATTTTTAGCTTTTAGCCACTCTGTCTTTTGACCATAGATTTGAATATGGCAAATACCTCGATCACACCAATTTTCTTCTTGATGAGGTAAGTCCACATCTTTCGAATCTAATCATCTATGAACGTGACAAAGTATCTATTATCTGCAATCGAATCCACCTGGATTGGATCACATACATCAGAGTATATGACTTCTAGAATTGCCTTCGACTTCCTTTCTGCATCCTTGCTTAAGTTGTTCTTGTGTTGTTTCAACTGAACACACTCTTCACAGACTTCACTTGGAATGTCGATTTCAGGTAACCATGAAGCCATATTTCTTTTCTTTAGATCTCTGATGTCATTGAAGTTGAGATGGCCTAGTCGAAAATTCCATAACCATTCATCTCTACTGGTTGCAGTTGCTAGGCACTTATGCTCCATCACATTGAGTTCAATCTTGAAAGTCCTATTTTGAGACATTGGAGCCTTCAAGATCAACCTACCACCTGCGTCGACAACTCTCATCATCTTGTCTTTGACAACTACTTTGTAGTTCTTTTCGACAAGTTGTCCTATACTGAGCATGTTACTTTTCATGTCTGGTATATATAATACATTGGAAATTATTGACTTATTGCCCTCCTACTTCACGATCTGAACATCACCAACACCTACAGCTGCTAGAGTGTCATCATTTGCAAACTTCGTCGTGTTCTTTGACAAGAGTTTCATGTTGACAAACCAATCTTTCCTTCCAGTCATGTGTGATGAGCATCCCGAGTCCAAGTACCACTAATCCTGAAATCTCTCTTCGTCTCTTGTTGTGACCATCAACATCTCTTCTTCTTCATGTTTTTCCAGCTTCACATCAATTTCTTGATTCTTCTTCTTTTCTGGATAATTAATAAAATAATTACCATTCTTTTAACAATTGAAACACTGAATGTGACTTTTGTCAGGCTTTCGACCACCACCTTTTTCTCTACTTGCAGCACCACCTCTTTGGTTTCCTTGGTTCCTGGGTTTTCTCTGATTCGACCAGTTTCCTTCATGCTGATTTCGACCAATCGAATTGGTGTAGAATCCTCTAACTTTGTTGCCATTCCATCTTCCTTTGTCTTTCCTTTCTTTTTCTGATTGCGCCTATAAATTCATATCACTCTTCGAATTTCTTGCAGCTCTTTCAACCATCCTTTGTTCATGAGACTTAAGCGTCCCTTGAAGCTCTTCCTTCGTCAATATTGACAAGTCTTTTGACTCTTCTATGGCTACTACCACGTGGTCAAATTTTAGAGCCAATGACCTCAAGATCTTTGACACAACTGATCTTGATATCAACACTTTTCCACATACCTTAATTTGATTCAACAACTTTGCAACTCTGGTGAAGAAATATGTTATACTTTCATTGTCTTTTATCTGAAGCAATTCATAAGTCCTTTTGTGAGTTTGTAACCTCACCTCTTTCACCTGCTCTGCACCTCCAAACGATTTTTCAAGAATCTCTCAAGCTTCTTTTGCTGATTCTATATTACTAACATTTTCAAAGTTATCCGGATCAACACATTGATGAATTATAAATAAATCTTTATAATCTTTCTTATTCAATTCTTTATATGCTGCTTTCTCCTGATTTGTCGCAGTTTCTGCAAGTGGTGATAATCTCTCCTTCACAAGATCCCAAAGATCTTGGTAACCAAACACCACATTAATCTGCTTGCACCAATTCTCATAATTATCTTTCTTGAGAATTGGAAGATTTGCTAGAAAGTGACTGTTTGGGTGATATATCGTCATCATAGTTGTTCTTTCCTTGAATCAAAACCGGAGCTCTAGATACCAGATGTTGGAATTCAACCACAATCTATGGAGAATTTCACTAAATTTTGATCTAAATATTGTTATCAATCACGTAATGACAATGAAAATATTTAGAAAGAAAAAATAAAGTAACGTTGGAGAAGAAGATGAAAAACTCTGCAGATTTCTCTCTATCCACAACTGTGAAAATTCTCTTATTCATTTGCAACTGTAAACTGTGAATACAATGTTATGAATTGTGTTGTTTACAAAACAAGAGTTTATCCCTATTTATAGATTTAGGTTAACTTGCACCCCAAACTAAAGTCCAAAACTATAAAAGTCCAAAATAACTAACATTATTAAAATAGACCTATGTCGAAATCCTGTATGAAACAACTTGCTTCGACACTTCGACACACTAATATAACTCGACACACACATTAGAGTAATTCGATTAGACCTTGTTTCTGTCGAGCTACACTGCTTCAACACAAGGAATTACAATCTCAACAAATTATAGAATTTTCTATCCTCAAAATGAAGAAAAAAAATCTTGTAAGCATATATTTAAAATTCATGGAGGCCAAACAATGAAATTTTTTTATTTAAATAATCAAAATTTTAAATTTTATCAAACTAACCAACATTCTCCCTAATTTCTAATATATTCATGTTTCAAATTAAAAAATAGATTAAAAAAAGAGGCGTCAATTGAGTTTTTTGTCTGTAGTTAAATACGCAAGTAATATTAAATCTGCAAGAAAATCCGCAGATAATTAAAAAAAAATAAAATATACGAGATGCCAACTTTAATTTATTTTTTTGAAACATAGTTATATTAAAAATATTGATTAATTTGGTAATTTTTATGGAGATGAAAAGAATCAATAAATAAGATATTTTAAGAACCTGGTTTTGGAGGTGTTCTAATTAGAGGTACAAAGTCTTTATAAGAATTTATGAAGAAAAAAAATTAAAATTTGATTATTTACATGAAATTTTCAAACAATGGAGATGAAAAGAATCAATAAATAAGATATCCCAAGAACATGGTTTTGGAGGTATTCTAATCAGAGGCACAAGGTCTTTTATATGAGATTTATGAAAGAAACAATATTGATCTCTTAGAACCAACATAGTTTGAAGAAGTTAAGAAAGATTAAAAATAGTTTGAAGCATGAAACAAGAAAAGTACAAGCTTCAATAATAGTAATTCTAAAAGGATTTTCTCATAGACACATCATCAAACACATGGTGAGCGACAGAAAAACAAAACAAAATAAAATGTTTTAACTAATAAATTTTCAAAATATCATCATAACTGATCATGAAACAAATCAAGCCAACTATGAGAAGAGGATATAACACCAAACCAATCATAAGCAACATGAAACTTAGAAACATACAATAAATTCAAGTGTTGATCAACCAAGAAAAAAAATAAAAACTTGAAAAATCATCATGGTAGTAGAATCAGCACACACAAGTCTAAAGAACCACTGTTGGAGCTGCTCTAACATAAGTATTAAAAAATATTAAAATATTAAAATATTTTTGTGTAAAAATGTATTAAAATGTTTTATGCAGCTAATCAATTACAATTATTAGATTATTAAAATATTTAATTTTAATTATATCCACCATAAAGTCACATCATGTATACGAACACGTGTATAATGAATACTACTTGTAACTTTTTCTTTTAGAAAGAAAAAGTCAAATACTCATTAAACATAGCTTTATATTTGATCCTCAATTTTGGAAACAAGGTAAGGATTTGGTATAAATCAGAACCCAGATTTGATATTTAACTCATTACAAAGAAGAATACCAAATGGTAAATGATTTATTTGATGTTAAATATTATTTTCAAATCATATGAATATGTGTATGTCTGATTATTATAATTTGAACTTTGCGACTTTTTTTAAAAATTGATTATTTTGTTGTGTTAGATTCACTTTGTGCTTCTGATTAGTCGACAAGGAAAAGTGAGGCTCACAAAATGGTATTCACCGTATTCTCAAAAGGAAAGATCCAAGGTACATGTCTCTAATTCAAATATAAAATGTTTGTTTTAACATCATTGTAATTTAAATAATCAAATTGTATCAATTGTTGGATTCGAGATCACATGGTGCATTGCTTTTGTCACCGAAAGTGCAGTTTTTGTCTTTTGGATGGAATTAAAAATCCATGTTATATCATCATAACTATTAGGAACAATGATAGGATCTTTCGGTTTCGAATTTGCACTTCTGAAATCGAATGTATACAGGATAATAGTTGAGTTTTGTTTATGGTAATGTTTTTGTATTCGTAGTTGAATATATGTTACATGTTTTGTGACATGATTTTGTATATTGATTCCTCTGTTCAAATTAATGTGTATACTAACTAAAATGTCTTAAGCTAATTCTTGTTATGTTTTGTTTTTGATTTTTTTGGAGGCACTTAGAGAGTTAAGTGGCCTAGTTATCTCTCGAGGCCCAAAGCTATGCAACTTTGTGGAGTGGAGGGGACTCAAAGTTGTTTATAAAAGGTGGGTCAGAACTTTTTAATATTATACAAAAGTTTTGATTAAAGACCGCGTCTAATATCTGAAATGTCCTTGTCTCAGTGTACAATTTCATTTATGTTTTTCAAATTTTTAAATAACTATTAGTATTATATGTTAGTATTCAAAGTCATCTTAAAATTTTGGAAGTAGTGTGCATTACTCAATGTTTAAGTTGGACAAAAACAAATTATTGAGCCGTCACAATTTAACTGTAATAAATATATTACGAAATCATATTTAGTCACGGTCTAATCATGATAAATTTTGAGTACGTGCGATAGCCTATGTAGTAGTCCACATTACATGTCCTCGGTAACGCTCTTCAAAGACAATTATATATGAGTATTATATTTGAGAATTTCGAGTATATGTTAACGCGCTCACGCAGTAGCCTTCATTGTACGTCTTCAAAGACAGTAATATGAATATTTTGAGTATTTGTTAAGGTATCTAATGAACAAAATACATTGCTAAACTTTAAATAACTTTGAATTTGTCTTTGTTTTGATGTGTTGTTTAGATATGCTAGTCTTTACTTTTGCATATGCAATGATCAAGAAGACAATGAATTGGAGACACTTTCCATTATTCATCACTATGTTGAGACATTGGATCGCTATTTTGGCAGTGTTTGTGAGCTAGATTTAATCTTTAATTTCCATAAGGTAAAGCATCTCATCTCAAACACCATTTTCTTTAATAATTAATAAACTTAAATATGTTTTTTTATCTATATTAATAATATACACAAAATTATTGATTGAATGGTGAAAAAAATATGTTAATGATATATCAGGCATATTTTATATTGGATGAAGTTTTGTTGGCTGGAATGATGCAAGAGACCAGCAAGAGAACAACTCTTAGACTCATAGCTGCACAGGTTTGATTTTTTTTAAACCTTTGTTTGATGAAAATTTGGTATGTTGTTTTTGACACAAAAAAAAGTTGATATTATGATATGTGTTGTAGGAGGAGTTAGTGGAAGCTGCAAAAGAAGAGGCTAGTTCATTGAGTAATATAATTGCACAAGCCACTAAATAATAGCTTTATTGAGGAGTCAATTTTATTGCAAATAAAAATGAAAAATTGTTCCCTCCTTATTTTGTCAAATCATAGAACTTAAGTTTCAAAACAAACCCAAACTCTTACAATTTCTTGTATTTTATTTATTTATTTATTTTATAAGCAAAATTGAATTTAAAAAAATATATAAATGGTGCACAACTCGATTATAACCACCACAACGAAACAAATCAAAGACAAACACAAACCATCAAAAATAAAAAATAAACTAACCCCAAACCCCCAAAGTTGGAGTGACACACCACTCCGACCAGGATAACTAACAATCCAAGGTTTTATTGACTAAAAGTCAATTCCATGATAAACTTTTAATCATCCTCAACCCATCAAATAGCTAGCCGAAATAACTACTTGAAATCTGCCTTTAACTTCATATTAAGCACTGCCTCAAGCACCAGGAGCCGATCAATAGGAGGCAACGAATATAAAGATAAATCAATATGAAGTCAATCGATTGTTTGAATCCACCAAACCTTCGAAATCGAGCAACCTCCAAAAAGGTGATTTGAATCTCCATTCTCCCCACCATATAAGGGACACCACAAATTTGAAATACCACTCAACACACTTCAACACTCTAAATTTATTCTAGTAGGAAGGCAGTTCAACACCAATCTCCAACTAAAGATAAAAAAAACTTACTCGGAACCTCCATCCACCACAATCTCCGTAAGGCCTCCAAAACAGCTCCGTCAAGAGATGAGCTAGCAATACAGTAATCCACAATACTATTATAATATGACTTGATCGAAAAACTTGTGGAACTCCTCCTGCAAACAGTTCAATTAGGCTGTTGTCGAACCAACTGCAGCTCAGCCAGCAGCAATAAATTGGCTTGCTGTAACGAGCCAATATGCATAGCCAATGCCCAGGTCCAACAGCCTTTCATCTAATACTCATTCAGAGCAATGCAATTACGATCTGGATCCACCAAAAGAAAAATAGAACCAAACACCCTGCATAACTGTTCAGCCCCAACCACCTATCCTTCCAAAAATTAAGAATTTCGCCATTTTTAGGTTTGCAGACCATTGATTCAACAAACTAGTTAGTATTATCTGCCATTTCTTCCACCGAATAAATAACTTTCCACCACACTGACTCTCTCTTACCCACCGAAATACGAGACTCGCCAAGAATAAAACTCATTAAGTTGTCGTACCTGCAAAGAAAGAAACTCGTACCAAATAGCATTTGTTTCATTCAAAATGCGCCATTTTCACTTGCATAAGAGAGGAAAATTAAAATGACCGCAATGTTTGATACCAAGTCCCCATTCCTTCTTCAACAAACAAACTGTATCCTAACTAACCCAAGCGATATTCTTCTTCTCCTTTCGGCCACCCCAAAGAAACGTTCTTTGAATCTTGACGATCTCTTTAATAATCGCCTTCGGAGCTTTGTAGAAGTAGAACTAAGATATTCTTTTTATTTTTAATAATGACTTCATGTATTATATATTCAAAAGTTATTATTTTCTCATTTGTTTTATTTTTCTCTTAGTGAGATTCAATTTTCGGTTGTCTATTGCATTGCAGTGTTTTAAAAATTGGTTCGGGCAAATCAAATAAACTGGAAATTAGAAAGATAATTATTCTAAAATGGATATTAGATAGGTCATAAACAAATCGATGAAAATTGTCCTGAATTGGTCAAAATTGAAAAAATTGACCAATAAAAAATTATTGTAATTCAGATGAGTTTATTGGTATAAATCAGATATCATTTATCCACAATTACAGAGATTAATCTCTCGAGGCGGGAAGAACCACAATAGACAATAAACTCTATCTCAAAACCATTTCAACCAAATGTTCTTGATAATTCTGATGTGTTAATAATGCTTGCTCTAATTTTCTTCTTTTCAAAAGTTAAAATTGACAAAAAGAAGTTTATCAGAGAACTTCAATTCAAACCGCTATTTATAAATATTTATTTTTATTTTTACTAAAGAAAAACAATTCATGAAGTTGTTATGGATAGAATATGGTTTTTTTTATGAAATATGGGCTTTAAGTTGGTCCAAAAGAATATGGGGTTTGAAAATAGGCAATTTCTTTTTTCACCCTTATGGTGTGTCTCACACCCTTAAAAATCCAAAAATATTTTTGAAAATTTTCCGAGATGCATCTCTAGACGCTCCTTAAATCTCCTCATCCTTCGTACATAAAACAGTCACCCCATTTTTTTCCAAAAGTTGGTTCGAAGATGCGTCTCTGAAATTTTCTAGGGTGAATTAGAAGATGTATCTCCAAAGACACCCCCTGAAGCCATTTACGCAGTGTTTCTCATTGAAATTAGCACCGCTTCCGCACACTCTCTATCGACTTTAACTAATATTAGAGTCATAGGAATTGTATAGTTGTGGTATGATCCTTGCGTTCTTGCGTTTCTGGCTTTTACATGACCTAATGTAAAAAATCGGGTTTTTAGAAAATCGAAATTTTACCTAGCCATTTCATCAGGAAAAAAACAGGGATCAAAGGTTCAGTATTTAGGGACTAAATATGGACACCACCCTAAATATCCTCAATTCTTTGTATTTCAATTTTATTTGATTTATTTTCTGTTTTCATATTTTCGAAAAAAAAATCGAAAAAATTTATAGACTCTTAATTTGATTTTATTTAATTTTTAGTTTTTTATAATTTTATTTTAATTTTTTTTTCTATTTTTCTATTTTTTTTCTCAATAGGAACATTGTTTGTTGGTATTTATTGCATTGTTGATGCATTTACTACTAGGTATGCCTTTTCAAATACACCACATACTAATTTTTTTTTAAAAAAACGCACAACATGACACTTTACGAATATGCATATCTAAAATCACTTTTTTTTCTTACAAAAATATGGTGTATTAAGAGATGCATCTCTGAAATTAAGTATAATGGGTGGCTAACTCATTTCTGTTCAATTTTGTGGGAAATGGACGCGTTCAGAGATGCATCTCAGAAAATTGGGGGTATTTTTGACTTTTCGCCAAGGGTTTAGAAGAATTTGTGAGGGTGAGAAAATAAATTGCCTAAAATATAACAAAATCCATGAGATTTTGTCCTGCCACCCCTCGGATGTATTTGATAGCCCTCTAAATTTCTGTAATATCAAAATGTTTTTATCATTTTCTAGTTAAAAATAGTGCACGAAAATTTGGTAATGTATTCTAAAAATTTGGTATGAATGTAATCAATAAGTTATTCTAAAAATTCGATATGCATTTTTTTTTACCAATTTTTATTATAAAAAAAACCGATAAATATACCGAATTAAAGAAAAACCCACGAATTACTGTATTTTTAGTGTAAAATCACCAGTTTTTTAAAAAGCTTATGCATATATCGAATATTTTGTATGACTAAAAAACATGTCGCGATATTTTTGTATGGTTGTGATTGCACAGACAGTTGTGTGATCCATAATGTATTCAAACTTGTATAAATAGAGATCATATGTTGTTAAAAAAATATCTTAGAATATTTCAATATTCGTTTATGGCAGCTTTGTCCTTCAACAGTGTGAAACCTCTTGTTGATTTTCGACTCTCTAAGAACGCCACTAGTCTCGGTTTTCTGAGATCCTTGTTGGATAATCTGTTGTCCAACACCGAAAACAAAAAGATGGATAAGATCGAGTCTCATGCACACTAAATTGATATCGAAGGAAAGGTGAAATACAACAACATTGAGTTGAAGACTGATGAATATTTGAAGATTATGTGGAGAACATATCATAGTAAGCTAATAAAGGGACCGATCGAGTTTGATGTGACAATTGCTAAGTTTGTAAACAATATAATCAAGATGTTGAAACATCCAAAATCGTCTAGTAGTGTATACATTTTATTTATTTATTATTGTTTTTTTAATTTATGTAATTGTCTGTTTTAAGTTATGTTAATTGTCATGTGTTAAAATATGTTAATCATACTGTGAGATATTGGATCGAACTCTAGTTAGCATGTCGTCGAATTTTGCTCACATGCTATTGTCGAAGACCTACATGTTAAAGTCGAATTATGTTCTAGTATGTAGTTGTCAAATTGGGCCTTGTGTTAAGGATCCAATTGTTTAAGTTAGCTTGTACCCTAAGTTAGCTTGTAATGGGTAATTGTTAGAAATCACATTAGTTTAGTATGTTAGTTTTTATTATAAATAGCATACTAGTCTCTCATCTTAGATGTGGTGTGACAAAACCTAATTAGGTGAGAGGGTTATTTGTTTATTTTTGAGTACTTGTAATATGTTTTATAGAGAAAGCAAAGAATAGCAGTTATAACCAATCCTTATTGTTCTCCTTATTTTTCCTTAACCCTAACCCTTGTGTGTTTCTTTATCATAAAGAAACTGAGTATATTTTGTTTTAAGGCATCCTAATTCACAACAAATTGGTGCAGTAAGCGTGGATAAGATTCCTTCAACAAAGTATGAGATTGAAAAGTTTACCGGAATGAACGAGTTCGATCTGTGGCGCTTGAAGATGAAAGCCCTGTTAGTTCAGCAGGGTTGTTTGAAAGCGTTGAAGGGAGAGGCAGCCATAGACGCCGCGTTAACGGAAAAAGAAAAGACGACCATGATAGAGAAATCCCACAGCGCAATATTGTTGAGCCTTGGTGATAACGTTCTTCGACAAGTATCAAAGGAGACTACGTCATCGGGGTTAGGATTGAAACTAGAAAGTTTGTACATGACTAAATCTCGAGTGAATCAACTCTACCTGAAGCAAGCTTTATATTCATTCAAGATGAGTGAAGACAAAGTGTTGGCTAAATAGTTGGATATGTTCAACAAGCTAATTCTTGATCTTGAAAATATTAATGTGAAGATCAAGCACTGTTGTTGTTGTGTGTTTTGCCTCGAACACATGCTCACTTCAAAGAACCTCTCCTGTATGGAAGGGAGTCCCTGAGCTTTGAAAATGTTTAATCATCCTTGTATTCTAAGGACATGAAGGAATAAAATG